AGGAGGAGGAGGAGAACTGGGGACCCATGCACATGATCTACATCCTCAGCAGAGGCGCAAGCACATCTACCGGCAGGGAAATCAGGTGCCAGAGAACTGCCAGCGCACACCAGGCTGTGAGTGCCATGGCTTGCTGAATCATGCTATAACAAACGTTCGCAATCCTTAAGCTCCAAAAGAGTGAGAGGCAGCCCCCCATTTAGCCTAGGTCATCACCCTTCAAAGGCCGAGTAACCAGTCGTTCATCGACCAAGAGTCACTATTCATGTGCAGGCAGGGTATTTACTGACTGCGACACTAACTTCTGTACATTCTGAATGTACTTACAGGTGGTCAAGTTCCTAACAGCTAGGGACAACCAAAAGTTCCACAGTTTGCCCATAAGGGCCCGGGGGACGCGTAACGCAAAGGTCAGCATGCAGACATCTTATATCTGTCACAACATGTGCTCAGTAGTTGTAATATGACCATCCTAAGCTACGAGGTCCACCGTTGTCACAAGGTCATAAACTGTGACGACATCCAACTCACTCCTTCATCCCATACACATCATTTTTCACCGACAAGACAAAGTCTGAACAAGCGAACATGGATGTGGTGTAGTTGCTGACAAAGTTACATATGCCACCTCAAGCGTGTCACAGAGATGCAACAACTGCCAAAAATGGGGGAGGGGGGAATACTGTAGCCTGGTCTCCACTTCTGAGAAGGACGGAGTTAACCCGCCACTGTAAACCTATTTGGCCACGACGTTGCAGTGCCATAGTAGATTCAAACGCGTCAGACTTGTTTTGGTGAGGAATGTGGTGATTTACCATTGGGATAGTTTCTTCCATATTAGCCTCATCCTCTTTCCTCTCGCCTCTACGCCAATTGCTTGCCCGTGCCTGTCTGCTGATTTGTAATCAGATTAGGCGGAGTGGTTGACACGACGAGAGCCTACCCCAGGGTGTTTTATACACCTCCGCGGCAAAAGTCCCGAATGTACACGGACACAAACCAATTCGACTGATGAATACCACGAGATAACGTGGCGCCCTTTTGCTCTATCTCAGCATTTACGCCAGCCAGCTCCGGGGGGAGACGAGGTCTTAATAAAGGCCAGGCAGTTGTTGTTGTAAGTTCATTGACGGTTTTACTGTGAGGTTTTTGGCTAGAACTTTTTTTTATTATTTTGTCTAGACACACCTATGCATTGTTATTTGTATTTCCTCCAAACTCATTGTCCGGACGTAATTCCTCTAGAAGGTCCTACTGAATGAAGATTCGGCAATCGGTCGACAGGCTGTTGTATAGCTGCTTATATGGTGAGACAATTTTTACGTGCATCGCGGCCTCACCATACTCTCAACACAGGTACGAGTTATGAACTCAGATGTGTGTTCCTCTGTCATTTTGTCGTTGTATGACGCAACCTTCCGGGCTCCTCGAATTATCAGCCAGCTCCCCGGGATATTCCAATGTGGTTTCTCTCATAACACCGACTATTAATCTTAAGCTGGTAACCTCATAGAGGACTACTGGGAGATGTGGCATAAACGCTTTAGAACACAATTTTGCAGACTTCACCCCGAAACGGTTACGAACATTTAAATCGGATTAAGCCATCTTTGCGAAATATTCGCATAATGACTACATCCGCGAACAAGCAGGAAGTATTATACTAAATAAACGTAAAAATGGCACGAACTTTCCCCTGCGCAGCCACTAACTTAAAAAAGTCAGATACGTCTTTAACCGCTTTGCATAGGCGGGCAGCAAAAGCTTTGCATCAGGCGCCCGCAAATTGTGTTTCAGCGCCCAATGGGTCCTGCCAGGTTTGGTCATCGTGACTCATATATTATCCTGCCGTTAAAGGAATCCACCCATTCTCAAGTTGGTCCGGGCTTACATAGTCCTATTTAAATTTACCGCCCTCTACCTGTCCTCCGTCTTAAGTTGGTGTAGCCGTGAGGCCAACGCCGCAAGTCCCGTCACCATGGTTACTCGCATGGGGTCCAAACGCAGTTCTCGGGTCTGCCCTCGGACGCGACCCGCCCTATGTTGCTCCTGCTGTGCGCAGGCGTGCGGTGCACATCAGTCCCGAGAGTAGACCAAAAACCTCAGCTTTGGTGACTCACATGCGCGCTTTTAGTGAGAGGAAGTTGTGAGTCCTACCTGCAATGACGACAGCAGACTGAGTACGGCAGGAGACCCAAGCGACTTGTGCCCTCTTATTAATTCAGGTAGCTAGGCGACAGCTGACTAGCGCGCCGTCACGGGCATGGGCGACGCCCAAATCCGGCGTACGAGCAGCCACCCAATCAAAGTGCACTCGTGTGCCCGTGAACGGCGAAGACGCCAGAGACCCTAGATAGCAGCCAATCAACAGCCGAGTTAACTCACTTCTGTAGCGCCGCCTCCAACGTCTTGTGATTGGTGTCAGCTGTGTCAGAAACTGGCGAAACTCATTTCCCGAGCACACTTACGCACTCACACAGGTGTTTGCATACCTGCCAGTGTTGCTGCCAGCGCGCGTCTGTGCTGCGTCTTAGCTCAAACCATACGTCTCTCCGGACGTTCGCCTCTCCCGCTCGCCATTTGCCGCCGTTAACACTACGGGTATTTCGGCTTTCTTGCTCAGGTGTTACCCCTTCAAGTTTCTGCCTGCACGTCTGT